CTTTCAATTGTTAATATAAAGGAGTTCTTTCTACAACAGAATAGTATGTGTGTTATATGTGCAGCATTCTTCATTTGCCTTCTATTACTTTTGCCAGAGAAGAGTTTAGTCTTCATTTTCTTTTAACTAAGTATTGCTTTTCCTTTGCGAACTTTGGATTTCCTGCTTTGCTTAAGAAAACCCTCCCCACGTCAGTGTCACACAAATACTTCCCTATATTTTTGTCTAATGATTTATAATTTTGTTTTCATGTTTAGACCTTTCATTCATCTGCCATTTTTTTTAAATACATGATGTGAAGTAGGGGTCAAACTATCCCAGTGTAATTTATAATATAATACATTCCTCCCTACTGACTTGGGATGACACCCACAGAACACAGCTGGCATAGGATGGCAGTCACACGCCTGAGCTCTGGAGCTAGTGCCTGGGCTCAACTCTCACTTACTCTGGATCCTATGAAAGTGCTTTAATCCTTCTGTGCCTCAATTCCCACATCTGTAAAATGAGAAAATAATAGTACCGACCTATTATGGTTTTTAAGGTAATTAAACAGGTTAAACCAAGAAAATACATATAATAGCATTTGGCACATAGAAAGCACTTGATAATTTTTAGCTAGTTTTGTTCACATATTTTCTTGGGTGTTTCTGGACTTTATGTGTTAGCCTATATTTTTCTCCTGCAGAGTCCAGCACCATCTTCTGGTTATCATAACTTTCTTGGTATTGGTTGTTGTTTTTTTGTTTGTTTTGAGTTGGGGGGTCTCACTCTGTCATCAGACTGAAGGACAATGGCAGGATCATGGCTCACTGCAGCCTTGAACTCCTGGACTCAGGCAATCCTTCCTCCTCAGCCTCCAAGTAGCTGGGACTTCAGGTGCATAGCACCATGCCCAGCTAATTTTTGTTGTTGTTGTTTGGTTTTAGAGATGGGGTCTCACTGTGTTGCCCAAGCTGGTCTTGAATTCCTGGGCTCAATCAATCCTCTGGCCTTGGTTTCCCAAATTGCTGGGATTACAAGCATAAGCCACTGTGCCTAGTCAGTTACCATAACTTACTAATTAATGTCTATTTTGTATATTATTGCTCTTTTTAAAGATTTTCATGATGAGAATTTCCTTGAATCTCATATCACTATGTTATTTGTTGGTATTTTAGTGACATGTAGTCTTTTCCTTTCACGAGCATGGAATGTCTTTCCACCTGTCTAGATCTTGTAATGTTCACTTCAATTAAATTTCTAATTTTCTTCATGCAGGTTCCTCACCTTTCTATTTACTTTACACCAAGAGCTATATAGCTTTTGCTGTTCTGAGTGGGATATTTTTCAGTTTGCAAATAAGTATTGCTGGGATCAAGACAAATTATTGTTTGTTTTTTTTATTTACCTTGTATCGGCACTTCACTAAACTAATAATTTGTGTTTTTCTAGTTTTGTTTTTGTTTTTAGTGAGTCTGTCTAGTCACCTAGTTATTTGATCATATTACCTAAATGATAATAATTTTTTTCTCTTAATTTCCATTATTTGCATCATTGATATTATTATTATTTTTCATGGCTGGAAGTCCCAAAATAAGTAATAGTAGTAATAATTAACATCCCTCTCCTATTTTTGTTTCTTTTAAAATATTATATTTGCTGTGGTTTTATGATAAACACTCTTTACTAGAGAGTTCATTGGCTAAGTCCACTCCAATTTTCATTCAGCTGTAATTGTTCAATTAATTTCCTCAGAAAGGATACATAGTTAGAATAAGATATGAGTCTGTGCTTGTCTTCCCCCGATTTGCCAAAAATAATAAATTATCCTGCTCTCATCAATTACTTGATATAAGAGCCTTAGAAAATGATCTAAAACAGAAAAAAAAGTCTGTAAACACATCAGTTTTCCCATTTTCAATATGACAAGTGATAAATCTAATGTCCATTTGATAATCTTTCTTTTCCTAGTTTCTAGCTCCTTCCCTTCTTCTCTCTCTCTCTCTCTTTGTGTCTCTCTCTCTCTCTCTCTCTCCCCCTCTCTCTCTCATATTCTCCTCTGTTGGGCATTTTAAAATTTAATCAGTATGTATCTAGGTGTGTCTTTCTTCCATTTTGTTTTCTACCTAGGACTTACTCAGAAAATTGAAGTATTTTTCAGCTTAAAGAAGTTTTTCTTTGATCTATTTTTTTTTTACTTTTTTATATATTCCTCTCTCCTTTTGTAACTCTTTGCATATCAAATCTTCTGTATCTTTCATATCTCTCATAGTTTGATCCATGGTTTCCATTTCTTTGTGGTTTTGCCCTTTATTTGTGTTACATTTTCTTCTATTTTGCACAGAGCACTTCCGGGCACATAGTAGGTGCTCAATAATGAGCTATTGCATGAAAAACTTGTCTTTCAGGTGTTCAGTTTAGACTAAAGCTGCCTCCTTACATATTTTGAGTTTAACCTAAAGGTTTCTCCTGTGCATAGTGAACTGTCACCCAACTGGATGTATAAGCAGGCTGTAACCTAGTCTTGTAACAATAGTTGAGTCTCAGCCAATCACAGCAGTCAGACTTCAACTACTCACAGGTGCCAGATATTTAAACTGTGCTTAAATAAGGCATACTCAAGCTGTCACCAGTCTGGCTGTTTCTGTATCTCACTTCTGTTTTCTGTGTATTACTTTTCTTTTTCTGTCCAGAAACCCTCTCTGATCACAGTATGGGAGTCACTCTGAACCTGTCCTGGTTTAGGGGAGGCTGCTGCCGGATTCTCAAATCACAAAAAATGAATCAGGTCTCACAGTGACTATTCTCTTTTTTTTGAATTTTTAATTCAGAAATCATGTTTTGTGGTTGCAGAAAGTCTTTTTTACATTCTAATTGTACTACTTGTATCTTTTTGAGATTTTTCTCTATTTTTTTTAATAAATAAATTAAGTGTCTTTTCTGCTTCTTCCTTATTTCTGCCTGGTTGTTGTATCTGGTCTTCTTCCATGGAATGGGACTTTGTCTTTATCTACTTATGCCTGTGGGTATGAAGACCTTTACCTCCAGGTCAGCCTAACAGGGTCTCTCGGGCTGTAGTGACCTGCAGGTAGAAGGGACATAGGTGTTTGGTTTCAGGGGACCAGGAGAAAACTAGGGGGCAACTGTTCCAACTCTATGTGCTGGGAGGTTGTCGTCCAAATCACTCAAGGTGGGGCATTTCTGCCCATCATTGCTGCCACCTTCTGCAGGATGGGGCAGGATAGAGGAAGAGAAGTTCCTTTCTGCGCTGAGGAAAAGTGATCCACATCTCTCCATGCTAAATTTTCCCTTAAGAAACCATGAATGCTACTTGCTCGCACAGATGTCCTTGTTGAGCTCGTTGTTTACATACTAAAAAAAATCCAGTACTACTGAGTTCTTAAAATTAATTAGAGCCCTGATCTGCTCAGTGGCAAGGAGAAAAGCATTAATTGACATGAATAACAAGAGTAAACTAATTGATAATTACTACCAGTGGGGCTACCAAATGACTGGCTCAATTTTAGACATGTATTAGAGATGCCCTGAGTCATTTTCTAAAACATTTACAATGGAATATTATGCAGCTGTAAAGAAGGACAAACATATGGACTTCGCAGCAACTTCGATGGATTTAGAGTCAATCATACTCAGTGATCTATCACAGAAATAAAGAGCAGAGTATCATATGTTCTCACTCATAAGTGGACCTTGAACAATTATCATAAGAAAGGGATTGGCAGTAGTGGGAAACTGCCGGGGGTGGGGTGGTGGGATTGGCAGTTGAGGGAAACTGCTTGGGGAGGGAGGCACACCTCATCAACAAGGATACCTGCATAATGAATATCTGTATACTTAACCCTGAATTGTACCCGCATCTTTAAAATAAAGATTAAAAATAGATAAATAAAAACATTTATACACTTGGCCACATTTTTATCCTTGTCAATGTACTAGTGTTGGTGCTAATACAAACAACAACTATAGAAGGTTTTCTTAAAGTCTAGAGAAGTAGAATATTGTAAGTAAACCAACAGTGAGAAATGTAAAGTCCCACATAACAGAGAACAGTCTCCAAAATGTGTTTGCTATCAGAAGGATCATATCTAGTTCCCGTTCACTTCTTATAATTCTGAGAAAAGGCTACTGGGCCAATGAGACATCATGACAAACAGTGGGGATTTCTCTGACAGTAAACGTGCAAGATCACATTAAAAGAACTCAAGATTTTTTAATGATCTAAAATCTCAACATTTTACTCTCCTCTTGATAGATTAAAAAGGAAGAAGAATTAGGAATACAAATGAAAAAGCTGAAATCCCAGAATGCAATTTTTGGTTTTTAAACAAACAAAAAATCACTACCTCTGCCCCAAATAAACTAACAAGGTTTTTTGTTTTGTTTTATTTTTATAGTTGAAGTATAGTAAGGGAAAAAACCAAAAAAAAAAAGTAACATAAAAGTGTCAATGTTCAATGCTGCAGAATAAGTTTCAAGGATACCAGAATTTAAACACTTGTACTGGATCTAGTGCATGGCTTGTCTCTGGGAGGAGCTATTTGAATAACAATCTCTAAACCTGCTATTGGCTGGCCTGTGAGAGAGGGCAGCCCTTCAGTGGTCTGGGCCACGAAGTTTTCATCCGGCCCCCCTGAGGCCTTGTCCCACTTCCCCAGCCACCACACACAGGACATGTGTGCAGTTCAGGGAGAGCCCCGACCTTGCTGACAGGATGGTGGATGTCCAGGTTGGATGTGGCTGGGCAGTCTTAACCACCGCTGCCTCCAGTGACGAGCAAGGCAGGCCTCTGCTGTTCAGTGTCACCTTGAGTAAGTGAGCTCTCCTTGGACGGGGTCCCAGGACCTCACTGGATGCACAGTCAATCTGTGATGTGTTGACCTTATGGGGGCACTTCAGCCACCACGTGTAACATCGTCAAGCAACGTGAGTAGCCTTCAGGTGAGAGGGCTGACACAAAGGCCGGCATTTAATTGAGTTTTCTGATTTCCTGTGCTCAGATGGATGGAGTGGAATCCTGGCTTCCCCTTGAGTATCGATGCCAAATGCCACAGGGATCTGCCCCGTGATATCCAGTTTGATAGTGAGAAAGGAGTGGACTTTGTTCTGAACTACTCCAAAGCGTAAGTTTATGAGAACCTAAGGATGCTCAGTGTCTGGGGCTGGGGTGAGACCCTCACTCTTTTCCTCATAGGAGCCTTGGGCTGAAGGAGAAGCCCAGTCAAGCAGTCTTCCCAAATGCATTTGATTATACCCTGATGCACAATCACAGGATAACCTGTATCTAAACAAAGTGACAACCCAGAGGACTCTAGACACCAGACATAGCTGTCCAGCCCAGAGGGGGAGTATTTACTTGGAATGCCCTATCCCCTCCTATAATTCATCCCCTCTGTGGCCACTTCAAGGGTGTGAAGGCTTTGTGTCCAGACCAAGAAGGCAGGCCAAAATGCCAGTGCTGATCCCGTCCTGGCTCCTTGGAAACATCAGGCGATGCTTAATGTCTATTGATGTTTAATGATGTCTAATGTTAATGTCTTACCTCCCCTCCCCCACTCCAGGATTGGCATTGCTGAACAAAGTCATGTGGATTTAGTTGGGTAGACTCCAGGCCAGGGTGGGACAAGCAAGACAGAAGGCTCTTGTGAAAAGAGATGGTTTGGAGAGAGAATGATAGGGATACAGAGCCAATGAGTCCAGAGAAGACAATACTTCTGGGGAAAATTGTGCCACCCGGGCTTTGTACTGGTGGGGGAGGGAGGAAAGGATGGAAGAATAAAGAATGAAGGGTAGCCCTTCAGTGGTCTGGGCCTAGAGAGACAAAACAGATGGATGGGTGGATGAATAGCTTGAAGGATGAATGGATGGATTAAGGGAGGGGGAAGGAAGGGAAAGACGTATGCATGGAGGGATTGATGGATGGGTGGTGAATGAATGGAAGGTGGATGGAGAGATGGATGGATGGAAGGTGGATGGATGAATGGAAGGTGAGTGAATGGATGGATGGATAGAAGGAAGGAAGGTAGATGGACAGAGGGATGAATGAATGGCTGGATGGTGGAGGGATGAAGGGATGGAAGGATGGATAGATGGATGGGTAGAGGAATGGATGGCGAAGTGAGGGCCAGACTGTGCCTTTTTCACATCTGCTCAGTGTTTCTTAAGGTCATTGTCATCTTTGTATCTCAGGAGCCTAGTACAGCAGTTGCCACAGGATAGGTGCTCAGTAAACTCTGTCCAAATAATTTGAGTATGCCCCAGCTGGCTGCCATCTCACGTGTCTTCCCTTCATTGTGGGAAAGAACACACATACCATACAGTTTCCTTCTTCTTCACATGTACCCCCATCATGACTAAGGACAGCCTAGATCCCTGATTCTCAATCTTAGTTGTACATTTATTATTAGATTCCATGGCATCCCACCCTGCTCAGACCATGAAACTAGGATCTCTGCAGTCTAGGCATGGTTTTATTTTAAAAGCTCTAGGGAGATTCTGTGTGCAGCCAAGGTTGGGACCACTGGCCTGGATACCTCCCTGAGCCTCCCCTTCACCCAGCTTCATGTGGCTCAAGTCCATCTGCTGGGTAGCAGGGAACACATCCTTCTCTGGCAGCGCCACTGTCTCTCCTGAGTGGGGACAGGAGCATTCTTCCAGCTGATTCTCTGGACACAGTCTGACAGAATTTGGAGGGCTCATTTCCTAGTGCACATATAATCTGTTGGAGGCTCCCTCTAAAAAGCAAATGTAATTATTTCGTTCACCTACCAAAATATCCTTCAGCGATTACCCCAGCCACAGGTGAGAGCCCAAGTGTCTCTGCCCATCAGCGGAAAGACATCCATGGAGCCCCACTCATGCCCCCAGCCCTCTCCCTTCCCCCACATAGGTAGGACTCTTCCATCTTGGGAATCCAAGTTTGATTTTCAGGGCATCTTCATGTCCCTTATCTCTGCCCAGGCCGTTTCCTCATCCCACACATGCCAGGACTGGGTAAGAAACCCCTTCTAGTGGAAGCTTCTCAAAACCCCTGGGCCTGAGTGAGTCCCTGTTCTCTGTGCTCCCGGACGATGCTGCCCACCCAGGTCAATCTCTCTGCAGAGACACTGCCACCCACCCTTCTCCATATTGTCCTATCACTCCTCCCCTTGAGTGACAGGCTATTGGCAGAAACAGAGCAAAGAAATCCAAAGGCAGGTCCTCCATCCCCTCCTAGCACAGCACAGCCAGGCAGTCAGATGAGCTCAGCCTCTGTGCCGGCACAGTGGACTGAGACTCATGAGGTCTGAGGAGGAGGGGAGAGCAGCAGCCCCTGCATTTGAGAGGCAGTGGCCTGAGCCAGGGTGATGCAGGACCACAGGGAAACAGCTCAGAGGGACCTGCCTAGGGATGAGAGGCGCATGGGAAAGGACCCTGGGCTGGTGGAGGTGACCCTATGGAAGTCATCTAACTTCGCTGAGTCTCGGTGCCATCATTTGAAGAATAAGATCATAGCTCCTACTTAGGATTGTTATGAGATTAAAATGGAACTCCATAGGTCAGCCCCGCTGATACAGGATAGATTCTCCTTAAAGACGGCATCAGTCTTCTCTCATTCCTGTTAACAGAATCAGGCCCGCCAACACCACTCTCCATCTTCACATGCCTGCTGAGCAGCTGCCCTCCTAAAAAGGACCCTGCTCTCAAAGGCTCACAGGGGTACCCTCACTCCGCCTGGGCGTCCTCTTGCTGATGGGGAACAGGAAGACTTCATGGCCAACGACCATCTGACTAGGCCTTGCTGGGCCCAGGCAGACGTAGGTGGGTCCTAGAGAAAGGGACAGGGGCTGCAGGGAAAGAGCACTCTCTGCACAGGTGTGATATGGCCAGGCCACTTGCAGAACCAAGTGGGTTGTGAAATTTCCTGGTGGCGTGTGGGGAGCAGCAGTCTGTGTTCACTCCCTACCAGCTGTTTGCAGTCTAGAATGAAATCATAGGAGGTGGTGGGGCTGATAAGAAATGTGCTTGTTAAAGGAAATTGAGAAAGGGTTTCCTTCCTAGTCAAGTGGGACAGTGAAGAAACATGTCCTGGGAGAGGTGACCGGGTGTCTGACCCTCACACCCACTGCCAATTCCAATCAGATGAGACTGGGAGGGAGCGGCTGCTGGAAGGGTTTGTGTGGAGCATCCTTCTCCCCAGGTATCACAGGAGAAGCCTCCTGGGAAGGCAACATCAGAAACATTACCCCCTACCACCATGGACAAAATGATACTATGAGCCTGAGTTCTTCACACCTAGGGAAAATGGGGAGATATGGGAGTGTTTAAAATGAGCAAGTATGGAGTCAGAGTTGCGTGGTCGGGGCTCAACCAGGCAGGCTTTGTGGGTCAGGTGAGAGAGTTGAGGAAGAGGCCAAATGAAGACTGGACAGAAAGTAAGAGAGACTGTGGGACATGGGGTGGTAGGGTTGGGGGTCACAAGGGGAAAGGCTCAGGGGTGAACTCAAGGCATCGGGTTTGTGAGAAAAATTAGGTGGTCATTAAAAAGAGAAGCTGGACTGGAAGAAGTCTGGGGGGGAGATGAGTCCAGGTTTGGGCACGTTGAGGTTGAGAGTCCTGTGTCGCCTCTGGTGGCCAGGCCCTGCAGCCAACAGGACGTGCAGTCTCCAGGCTGAGCTGAAAGGCTTCCTAGAGCACTGGGGCCATAGAAGTGGTGGGCAGCCCTTCAAGGGACAGGGGGGCTGAGTGTCAAGCAGAGGCTTGGGGTAGGGGGAGAAGAGTGTGGGCTGACAGAAACAACTCCCATGGCCCCTGCCCCTAGTCCCGCAGGTGGGCCATCTGCCTTGTACTCCAGGTGACAAAGTTATGCTTCTGGCAGCTCCTTGAAAGGTATCAAGGGTGAAGGGAAGGAGAGTACAGTCCCCAAGGAGAGGAAGATGGCAGAAGAGCCAGGCCTGGAGATTAGAGATGGAGGAAGGAAAGGACAGAACCAGGTGGGGATGGGAGGGAACAAGCTGGGGGTCACAGAGGTGATGATGAAGGGAAGAGAGAAGGAAGTTGAGGGAGCCCAGTCATGTGGCTCTGGAAAACTGCCATGAGTCTTGTATATGGGAAGATCCCGTATCCTGCTACTGGCACCGCAGTTCAGAAACCACTTGGCCCCACACAGGTTCTGGTCAGTGGGCCTGAGCTGCATTCCCACCCATCCCCCAGGCGATGCCGGTGCTGGTGTGCGGACTGCATTTTGAGCAGCACGGTTATTTCTGCTTTCCTGGTGGGGGGTACCTATTAATTTATTAAAATTACAGCAACAAATATCAGTTCATCTCTAATTATCCTTTAAAAACAAAAGCTAGAGACTGGCCAGCCGGGGTTTGAACTAAGACAGGAGTTGCGCCATCTTGGGAGAGTTATTTAACCTTCTGACCCCATTTTCTTCCTATAAAATGAGGTTGATGATGCCTACCTCATAAAATTATTATGGGATTTAAATGAACTCAGGTAGGCCATGCTCCTATGGTGACATCTGGCACACAGTAGGTGACCTCCCTCTGGTGTTTTGATGCTGGGTGTCTGGTAGGACTTTTTCTTCATTCCAGGACTCTCCGGCAGGGGGAGCTGCCTTCTCAGGCATAGTCAGTGCTTGTTTGCTGGCTACTCTGGGTTTTCCCCACCCCACCCCCCACCCTGTGCCTGTTAGCACACTCTGCATAATGGTCCCTGAAGACCCACAAACCCAGGGCTAGGATGCAGCCCCCATGGCTCAAGCTGTGGCAGTGTCACCATACCCCTGGTTAAACTTAATCCCCACTGACAGGAAACAGAAATGTGTGGCTGAGGTCACCAACAAGGCCTTCCCCATTGAATTTCCTGCTCCAGACAGCTTGGTTTCTGTGACACTTCTGGGTAACTCTGGCAATTTTTTTGCTCTGAGCCATCTGCTCTGCCTGGAAGGAAGCCAGTCCTCCTCCATGGGCTCTGCTCCCCACCCTGCACAGGACAACTGTGGCATGGAAAATGGAGAAACTGTTAGAAGAAGGACAGGGCAGGGAGGCAGAGGAAGTCGAGCTCCTGCCCTGCCAGCAGCTGGTGCCCAGCCTGTGCCAAGCTCTATTCAGGAGAAAACTGCAGAGTCAGTCCATCAGGCCACCTGCCTGACTGAGTTGTTACCTGCCTATGTGGCCTTGAAGGAGCCAGGTGCATTCTTGGGGCTCCAGGCTCCTCCTTTGTGCCAGAACAGATCTTTGAAGCCCTGAATATTCCAGTTGTCTATAATTATGTGAAAATAAAATTTTACCTCTAGATGACATGCAAATATGTTCCTTCTAACTTCACTTCTTCCTGGATCTGTGGCTTCCTCTGAGAACTGCCATACCCACCCTCCTTTTCGTGCCAGCCTTCTGTTTTGAGGTCAAAGCAATCCAGTTGGGGAGAAAGTGAGTCATTCCCTGTTCCCCACAAAAGCCGGTGTGTGCAGCCGGCTGGGACCTCAGGGCATTCAGGCACGGGATCTTTCTTGGGTACTATCTGGTGCTGGACCCTCCTCAGGCCCTGCAGGGATTGCAGGACCTGGGAAGTCCTTTTCCATGCCCAGACTGCCACCAGATGCCACAGTGAGGTTTCCTGCTCTAGTCTGACAAGAGTATCTGTCCTGGTATATAGTCAACAAGGAGTGCTAGGGGAAGAAAGAGGCAGCAAGGCTGCCCACTGTACCAGTAGGAAGGCTACAGTAGCCTCCCCTATTCAGCTGCAGCAAGAACTTTTGTAAAAGCTCTTCCTTTCCCATGAGGGGCTGGATCAAAGTGACAAAGGCACCAGAGGGACTGGAAGACGACATCATTCTACAGCTCTAAGGTGCTGTAGCACTGAGCACCTACTATATGCAGCCATCATGAAGCTGGCCACATTGCCCAGGCTGTGGTCCAGCAACTTCAACTTCCAGCAATACGTCCTCTGGATTACCCACAGGCAGGCAGCTTGTTCATCATGCCTACTCATAGAGGAGGGAAAAAAAAAAAGCTCACAAAGGTCTCTGGTCTCACAGCCCAAGAACCCTCTCCTGAGGGTTCTCCTGAGACATGGCCTCATAGGAGACGCAGGCTGCCCACTACAAAGGAGAAAAGCATTTACTAAACTGAGGAAGGATCCAAGGGAACCGTGTGAGCAGGCATATGATATTCTGCCTCGAGTGTCCTCCCAGGCCTGCCAGGGGCCAGGAGAGACCCCCAGCATCTCCTGCTTGTACTAGAAGTTCCCTACCTGTGGTCACTCCACCTTGCTGCCCACCTGGGTGTCTACAGGGTGACTTCCCTGGGACAACAGAGCTAGGATGTCACCAATTCCTCTGTTCCACAGCTAGGTTCACTCTGGGCAGAACTCCCCAACCTGGGTCCTCTGATTCTGCTGAGTCAGGAGGGTATGAGGAGCTACAGAAGGAAAAGAGACAGCATCACCAAGTGGGGTGGGAGGGCTGGGGAAGGGGAGGCTCCTCTGAGAAAGCAGTATTTTCCCTGAGGAGTAGAGGGAACACCAGGTGAGCTCTCCAGACACACTAACCCAAGTGCTCAGTAGGAGAATGCCTTAGTCTGCTGAGGTTGCCAAAACAAAATATCATAAACTGGATGGCTTAAACAATAGACATTTATTTCTCACAGTTCTGGAGGCTGCAAGTCCAAGGTGAGGGTGCCAGCTTATCCAGTTCCTGGTGAGGGCATTCTTCCTGGCTTGCAGACTTCCCACTGGGTTCTCGTTGCGTCTTCACATGGCAGAGAGAGAGAGAGAGATGGAGAGGGACACAGGGCAGAGGATGAGGGCAGGAGGGAGAGCGCTTGGACAACCTCTCTGGTGTCTCTTCCTACGGGAACATTAATCTCATCATGAAGACCCCACACTCATGACCTCATCTAACCCTAATTACCTCCCAAATGCCCCACCTCCTAATGCCATCACATAGGGGGTAAGGGTTTCAACCCATGAATTTGGGGCACAGTTCAGTCCACAGTAGAGAAGGAGGAGGCACACAGAGCATTCAGGCTGAGGGAACCACATGCGCAAAGGCTTGAGCTCTGAGGGGCAGCTAGAGTTGGAGCTGAGGAGTGGGCAGCAAGCACTGACAGCAGGGAGGAAATAGGACAAACTGTTACTCTCAAAACTCTCAGTTCTGTGTACCAGAGAGAAAAACTGAGGCAGAGTGTGTCACGGTGAGCACTGGCCAGAATTCCCAAGCCTCTGTCCTGTACCCTACTTGGATTATTTAGGAAGCCTCTCCCCTCTTCTCTTCCTTGCCCAGACCCCTCTCACACCCAGCCTCTTCCAGGAAGCCCTTGGGAATGCTCAGGTCATTCACATCTCACTCCTTAGTACCTGTGTTTTGAATTTAGCCAGTTCCTTGGGTTTCTCTTTTGCTCTCCTGTGCAATAAACATTTGGAAACTTGTGTTCACCTCAGCACCAAGCACAGAGCCAGGGAGAGCAGAAAAATGAGTTTTCAATTAAATTGAGTTTAAATCCCCACCCCCACCCCCCAAAAAGCCCAAAAACCAGACTATTCAGTTGAGCAACTGCACAGGATGTATGGTGCTCTGTCCCTGGAAGTTTATTCAGGAACTGGCCTGAGTGGGGACAGCAAATACCTGAAGAATGAATGAATGAATACATGGATGGAATTCAAGGCACCATAGGTTTTCCTGGGGGCACCTGGTCTCTTCCATAGGTGAGGTGCCGTAGGAAGAGCATTGTCCTCATTCCACAGAATAATCATCTGCCCACTTGGAGCTACCTGGGGTGACTCCAGGCCCCCTGAGAGTTTGGTGTGAAGAGGCCCTGCAAAGGGAGGCATAGCTGGTACATGCCATGGTGACCTCTCCTCTGGTCTGCAGGATGGAGAACCTATTCATCAACCGCTTCATGCACATGTTCCAGTCTTCCTGGAGTGATTTCGCTGACTTCGAGAAAATCTTTGTCAAGATCAGTAACACTATTTCTGGTGAGTGTGCCTCTGGAGGGTCTCACAGTGCTGGGGAGAGGGGATGCCACTTTCCTATCTGAGACTTGCTGGCAAATAGAAAAGGGCTGCCCCACCCCTTGAGAGATCTCGCAGCAACTCCTGGGTCCCACGCTGTTTGGTTCACTGTGGTCACCCTTATGCCCAGAGGATTCTTCTCCTCCTCAGACATTCAAGTTCCAGCACCCTTGACTTCATTTCATCATCAAAACTCTCAAAAATATGAAAACTTATTTATTAACTTATTTATTTTGAGTAGGGGTCTCACTCTGTTGCCCAGACTGGAGTGCAGTGGTACGCTCCCGGCCACTATAGCCTCGACCTGGACTCCAGCAATTCTTCCTCCTCAGCCTTCCAAATAGCCGGAACTACAAGTGTGCGTTACTGTGCCTGGCTAATTTTTTTTATTTATTTATTGTAGAGACGAGGTCTTGCCAGACTGCCTGGGTGGGTCTCGAATCTGCAGGTTCAGGCAATCCACTTGCCTCGGCCTCCCAAAGTGCTGGGATTACAGGCTGAGCCACTGAGTCCAGCCCTGAAAACTTTTTAAAAACATAAATCAATAATCTGTGGTGCTTTTGAACACAGCAAAAGCAGAACTTAACTTTTTTAATGCATTTACATAAAAACTGTGTTGGGTTCCTTTGAACTGTGATGTGTCTAGTTAAAGCACTAGCATTGTAATGACCAGTCATGGCATGGAAAGGAGGCAAAAATGACTGGATGAAGAAGAGATGTTGAAATCACCTGGGGAAGCCGGGCTCAGTGGCTCAGCCTGTAATCCCAGCAATTTGGGAGGCTGAGGTGAGAGGATTGCCTGAGCCCGCGGGTTCGAGATCTGCCTGGGCAACCTGGCAAGACCTCATCTCTACAATAAATCAAAAAATTAGCCGGGCGTGGTAGCGCGCGCCTGTGGTTCCAGCT